TATGTCATATTCATGCAAAAATATAACAAAAGACAAGACAAAACAAAAGGAAATCAAGTTAGTAGAAACAAGATAAAAAAGAATAAAGTTAGTTAAAATGATTATTCAAAGAAATATAAGCTTAGAAAAAAAATAATTAAATACGACTCAAAGTTGAGACTGAAAAATAAAGTATGCAAAGGAAATTAAGAGTCTTAACCACATGCGTTCTAGTTCTCTTAGGTTATCAACATGGCTCTAGCGGGGTATGTTTACTAAATTCTCTACATGAAGTCTGGTTCTAGCAAAGGGTTCCTAAGTTGTCCTTACAACCTGCTACGGTTAACAAGGACCCCGATTCTATCCCATTATAAACTTGAAAATCATATTCAACTTAGGGGATCACACCACTAAAAGTGTATCTCGGAACAGATATCCAGACATGCAACTTAGGATGCTTTCCAGAGGTAATTTGACAGACCCACACGAGGAATCCCAATGCTCCCCATGAGGTGTGATGTTTCCCCCTACTTAAGTAAATCGAGATCGAGCTCAGTTTTAGAGCTATGATATGCAACATTCCTAAATATTCACAAAAGTGTAAGCATTAATCAGAGAGAAAATCTTTTTTTTAAATAACATAATGAACTGTAAATTAAATAAATTCAAACTCAAAATTTCTAAATTCCAAATGTAGGGTAATCAACTCATGGCTTGACTCTCGATTTGTTTTAGAAAACAAAATGTCCCCAGCGGAGTCGTCAAGATGTCGTCACCATTTTTCGCTCGGGTCAGAAAAAAACTAGAACGACATAGGGGTTTTTCTTTGAAAATATTTTGAAATGTGAGGAGTCTCCACCAACCGTTTAAGGTGTGATTGGAACATCATAAAATCAAGTAATTTTAATAAAACATTTTTATTTTATAAAAATATTGAGTTTGGGGTCTAAGAAAACTAAAAATCAGGTTCATGAGTCAGTTACGGGTAGGGAAGGATTAACACCCCCACAACGCCAAAACATTTGGTACCTAGTTGATTACCTTATATTTAAAAATTGAAAATCTTGAGTTCGAACTTTATTTAATAAAAAATTCACTATGGATGCATAGTTGAAAATGATGTTTGTTTATTTAAGCCAATAGTGTTTGCCCTCAGAATGAATGCGGGAGATCAACTATTATGCCCAATAACCGGAAATTTCCTTGATTTTAAGAAATCAGGATACGGTCTTGAAAGGATGTCAACCTACTTCAGGAATCACCAGTAGTTATCTGCTGAGCATACATGCAGGAGATATACCATTGACTCCCTAATAAGTGAACATTGCCTTAGGTTTTTAAAAAATACAATCAAACAATCAATTTTAAACCCTAACGAGTAATTTAATGGATTTCCTACCTAAAGTTGTTGAATTATGTAATTAAAGAATCTAGAGGGCTAAACCTAAAATGAGTCTATAATATTACCCTTAGCTGATTTTATCAACCAATTATTAAATCGGATAATTGATTTGATCAATCAGGCATTTTCTTGCAAAAACTCAAATCGAATCATCTCATAAGTAAAGGACTAAGATGAAATTAAACCTAAGGCGCGGGCTCTAATTGTCACCCTAATCGATTATGTTAATTTAAAATTCTAATTAAAAGTTTAAGGACTAAAATATGATAACTCTAAAGTCTAGGAACTAAATTGTAAAAAAACTAAAGTCTAGAGACCTAAGTGTGAAAAATCTAATCCTAGAGGGTTAAAATTGAAAATACAACTAGTCTAGGGACTAAAATAAAAAAATAGAACAACTCAGGGAGAAAATTGTAATTAAAATAAATAAATTCGAAATTAGTGACTAAATTGCAAATTTATATGATATTTAGGAGTTAAATAACAATTAATTAAATAAATAAAACATGTGACTAAATTGAAATAAATATAAAAATTCGGTATGAAATTAAATAATTAGAACAGGGACCTTAATGCAAAAATACGTGTAATGTAGAGGGACCTGAAAGAAATTAAACTAAGAATTAGTGTTAGAAAATAAAAGTGAAAAATAACCGAATAAGGATAAAAATCAGAATAATTAAATGAAATAAAAAATAAAAAATGTTACCAAAATGAACACGGAGGAAACCAAGGGGTTGTGTGTGTAATTAGCCCATTGATTCCCAAAACGCACAACATCGTGGGAGAAGTGCAAAATGACGTCATTTAGCTAGGTGCCAAAACGACACCGTTTTGTAATGCATATAAATAGGTCAATTTTTTTTTCATTTTGCACAGAACTCTCTCTCGCTCCTCACTCCCGTTTCTCTGCCTTCTCTCTAACTAGGAGTGCCCGATGGTCGCGCCAGACGCCAACCGCCTTTGTCGATGGCCGTTGGCCACCAAACTTTCAAGGGAGCTTTGTCTCGGCACGGGTAGCATGGATCAGATGTCCGTTTCGCAAGATTCGGCCTCTCCACCGTAAAATAAGTCGAAACCCTTTGGCTTTCAAGGCTATGGTATGCCTCCGGCCGCCTTTGGATCGAGATAATTTTTTAGTATGTGGGTCATTGGTGTCTTCTCTCCCTTCTCAACGGTTGGATCTACTAATGGACCTCACGAATGCCGACGAAGCCTCCAGTCGATATGTAAAGTCCCCTCATCTCTCTTTACAATTTTTTTTCATTCCTCTCTCCCTTTGATTTTTTTTGTTCATTTGCACTTGTTTTTGTTTGGTTCGAATGGATATGACCATGAAAAATATGTTTGGTTTCTTTGTATTTTTTTGTTAGTTTTCGAATGGAATTTAAATAAAAAAATTGAAGAAAAATAGATTATGGAAATGAAGTTGTATTGCCTCTTTGATGAATCAAGATCGATATGATTTTTTAATATGTGGTTCACAGTTTATTCTCTCCCTTCTCAACAGTTGGATCGACAAACGGACCTCCCGAATGCCGATGAAGCCTCCAGTCGAGAGGTAAGGTCCCCTCCTCTATCTTTTCAATTTTTTCTATTCCTCTCTCTTCGATTTTTTTCGTTCATTCACACTTGATTTGTTTGGTTTTAATGGATATAAGGATGAAAAAAGGTGTTTGGTTTCTTTTTATTTTTTTGTTAGTTTTCAAATGGAATGCAAATAAAAAATTGAAGAAAAATAGATGTTGGAAATGAAGTTGTATTGCCTCTTTGAAATTGAATCGGAAGAGCCCTTTACAAATGTGTTATTGGGGTTTTTTATTATCCAATTACATTTGGTTTTTTCTTGCAGCCTACTGATGGGAGCTTGGTACAGGTGATTGGTGGGTTAGACACCGGTGCAGACGGTGATGGCAGGCGACCGGCATGTCAGGCACTGGTGCAGCAGCATGGCAGCCGGATTTCACGGGATATGTCCATGATTTTTGACTTTTTTTTTATAACTTTTGTAATTTAATAATAATAATAATAAAATGGTGATTTCACTTGTCCTACCACCTTCGCAATTCTTCGAAACAGAGCTTTGCAGTAGTATCGATTTGGCAAACCGGGTAATCGGATCCAAACTATAACATGTTTTCTGAGTTGTTTCCGGATTATTCTTTGGTTCAAGATTGATTTCCTTATTTGTTTCTTTGTTTCCATCATCTTCCATGTTGATGGCCTCCGTTTGCATGGCTGTTGTATCCTCTGCAGGTTCGTCTTTCCTTATCTTTTTGGCCGTTTGTTGGTCTTCAGGCCGAATAGGAGAACCTGGACGTTCGAGTATGGGGGCAATCCCAGATTGGGTGTATCTTCCGTTGGTCTAGGGTTTCTTGTGTTTTTGTCGATAACGATATCTTCCATGGTGGGCGGCTCGCTTTTAGGAAGTGGTTAAACGATAACCAGTTACATTAACACACTTTTAGGAAGTGGTTAAACGATAACCAGTTACATTAACACACTTTTAGGAAGTGGTTAAAGGATAACCAGTTACATTAAATACTGTGTTATCCTAAAGTATTGATTTTTTAACTAGGTAAGATAAAACTATTTAAAAAAATTATCAGATCTTAAAAAGTTTAAGATTTTAAATTTAAATCTGATAATATGTCGATTTAATCTGGATTTATTCTGATAAATTATTTTGAGTTCAATTAAGTGTATATAATTTATTTTAATTATAAAGTTGATATAATTACACAATAACCCCTAACTTCAAAAGAAGAAAAATATAGCTTTATTAACGAATGTAGGTATGAAGTTTATTATTGAGAGTAAGTATAACTAATCCATCTCAAATTTGTATTGATTCTTAATGAGATCTCAATCCACCTATCTTATGAAAATAAATCAAAGATTTCGAATCTAATGTTAAACCGACATGACATTACACAAAATCTTTGTCAAACTTGCAATTGTTATTATTATTTAGAAGAGAGGATGATGATAACGGATGTAAGACTTTATGTTAAAAGACATGAATTTTTAAAAAGTTATATTAAAAAATTTAATGATGTAAAATTATAAAAATTCAAGAAGTGTAAAATTAAATCGATAATAGAAAATACACACAAAAATAGTTAAACTATATGAGAATTTAAAACTTTCAGGACATGCGACTGCCCTCTTACTAAAGATGAGCATGGGTCGAGTTAGGTTTTTGATCGACTCGAACTTGGTTTGACCTAAGTTTAGGAAGACTCTTATCGACTTGATTTTCGGGTAAAATTATTAGTTGAATTGACATGAAACAAATACTTTATTGAAAAAAATAAATAGAACTTATTCTTATAGTCTTCCTTAAATATATAAGATATAATTATATTATCATCTCGGGTCGAGTTTACCCTAAATTTAAATTCCATGCGACTCGACCTTAATTTTTAAAAGGTCAAATCCACCCGAATATAAATTTAAAAAAAAAAACTCGACTTGACACAATCAAATCAAAATTTATCTGATTTTAATCCTATATAGATTCATATCCTTGACATCCCACGGTCCGTCCATGGAGAGGACTAATGTGAATAAAATCTAAATGAATGACTTGAAAAGCTATAAATAAGACCACGTTATGTTTTGTCCAATACACGAAAGAAACAACAAGAAGCTAGCCATGGCTATAGCTACCAAACCTTTCATTGCTTTCCTTTTCATCTCTTCTGTTTTGCTTGCTCCTTACTTATCTATCTCGGAGGGCACCGTCGACCAGCCGACTCCGATCGTGAGTGGTCTCTCCTGGACATTCTACCAAAACACATGTCCCGTCCTCGAATTCATTATAAGGGACTACTTGATGTCGGTCTTCATTAGCGACATAGGCCAAGCTGCCGGCTTGCTCCGTCTTCATTTCCATGATTGCTTCGTCCAGGTACGTCATGGAACGCTATAACGTCCGACGAATTATTGCAGTATGATGTATAACCATCGTTGTTTTATGATCTTTTCGTCGATGGTTCTTATTAGGGATGTGATGCATCGGTGTTGTTGGATGGATCGGCAAGTGGACCTGGGGAACAAGAAGCTCCACCGAACCTCACCCTGAGGGATAGGGCATTCGAGATCATCAACGAACTGCGCAGTCGCATCGAAAACGCCTGTGGAAGAGTCGTCTCCTGTGCTGATATCCTTGCTCTTGCTGCTCGTGAATCCGTGTACTTGGTATCATCTATCACTGCTACCTTTTCATATAAATTTGCATTCATATACTTTCAGATTTTATTTTTATAGGTACACAATGACTACAAAAATAAGAATCAATCCTCTAAATATGAGAACTTTTTAAGAAAGTAATATAAGTTTATTTAGAAAGAAATATGTGCACCTACGTATTAGAAACCTATGTTAATACGAACACGAATTAGACGACAATAAAGACGTACCAGTGAGGGTTTTGACTCTAATAAATCAATAAAAATAAATTAAAAACAGGATAAAGTACATAAATGGTCCTCCTACTACATGATATTGCTTTATTGAGTCTTTTGACCATTAAAAGTTATAAAATGGTCCTCGAACTATAGTAAGTTGCTTTTTTCGAGTCTATTGACTATTAAAAGTTACAAAATGGTCACTTGAGTATTCATTATATTCCAAACTTGTCATTTTCTATTAAAAATTTAGCAGCAGTTTGAGTTATTTGTTAACCTATTGAATGAGCTATGATAAAATATGATCTCATAATCCCAAACGACTATCATATCTCAGTCAGTATGTTAATGTCTAGCTTAGACAATAATTTTTTTTAACAAGAAATGACAAGTTTGAAACATAATAAATAGTCAACTGATCATTTTATAACTTTTAATAATTGAGGGACTCAACAAAGCAACTCCTCATAGTTGAAGGATCATTTTGTAATCTTTAATAGTTAAAGGACTCAATAAAGTAATATCCTATAGTCGAGGGACCATTTGTGTACTTTACTCTAAAAAATATTAGATGTGTACACTTGAAAATATTAATATTCAACCAATGTGAGATTGTAAAAAAATAATAATATCCCACATTAGTTGGATATTAACTTTTGTTTAAATATAACATTTTCAGCTTTCTTTTAATGAATGATTAGAGTTAAGGTCCTCACATGTTTATTACTATGGTTGCTTGTCTTAAAATTGAAACAAAAGTCTATGTGACATAATATAAAAATGGTTTTAGTCCCTAAAAATTACACATTCTATCAATGTAGTCTTAATTCGAAATAATATAATAAATTTATTTTTTTATATTTAAAATTTTCATCAATTTAATCATTTTTACAATACTATCAAACTAAACAAATCCATCAAATTCGAATCAAAATAGTAGGATAATTGCATTTTATCATAAAGCAACAATAATTTATTGCTAAAATTATTATTATATCATAAAAGTAACATGAAAGTAATATAATAGGGGAGAATAAAAAAATTAGAGCTATATAATTTTTAAATACGAAGAGTTAAATTTATTATTTTTTAAATTAAGATCAAATAAACATAGTATATAGTCTTTGTGTGACTAAAACTATTATTACTCCAAGTCACGTCACTATTCCATCTAATATTTAACAGCCAATAACTTATTTATAATAATATTTTAATTGAGTGACTAAATTGTAATTTTTTTTAGAAAAAATACTCGTTTGCAGAACTAATAACTGAATACTTCGTCAACATATGGCATGTGAAAATTCCATGAAGCTTACCAACTCATTTGTCATTTAGAGATCAATACATTCGTAAAAGTTAAAACATTACGTTGTATGGTTAAAATATATCGCTAGGGATGGCAACTCAACCCAAATCCGACGGGTTTCGACCCGATCCGATCTGATTGGGTCGGGTTTAGGGTAAAAAAATCTGACCCGATCCGACCCGAAAAATATATAATTTTATCCTATATATTTAGGGATAATTACAATAATATCCCTCCATATATAATTTTTTTCAATTAAGTCACTGTTTTCATTGAATAAAATTTTTTTATTATTATTTCGGGTCGGGTCGGGTTTCTAAGTTATATATTCGGGTCGGGTCGGGTGAAACCTTAATTTGGTCGGGTCGGGTCGGGTCACGGGTGGAGGACCCTTTCTTCTCGGGTCGGGTCGGGTGGCCCAAAAACCCGACCCGACCCGACCCATTGCCATCCCTATATATCGCAGATTTAATAATTTTAAAGGTTGATATTTAAATTTATTGAACGATCTCAATGATGAATAAAAGTAATTTTATTTTTTAAAAGTTCATGTTCAAACGATTACATTTACTGAATTTGTTATCATATATTAAAAAAATTCTGAACATATAATACATTATAATCACGTGAAAGTACAAAAAATTGTACTCAAATGATATTTAAAAATTAGAAAAATTACATATTTAGTCACTTAATTATTTGTAAGATTTTATTTTGGTTACCTAGCTATTTTCTTTTTCAAAATCATACCTAATTTTATATTTTGATTTCATTTTGGTCGCCTAGTGTTAGAAGAATAATAGAACCAGGGACGGATGTAGGATTTTATGTTAGGGGCGAACTTGAACTTAGGGGGGTGAACTTGAATTTATAAAATTCCAGAGGGACAAAAAAATTTCAATAAAAAATACATAGAAAAAATATAAAATATATAGTAATTTTAAATTTATAGGGAAACTGTCCTCATATCCATCCCTGAATAGAACTGCTAACGTGAGTTTTTTTAACGGCGAGTGAGCAAAATGAAATCGAAACGTAATGCTAGATATAACATTTTTAAAAATAATAGTTAGATGATCAAAACATAAACACACAAACAATTAGATGATTAAATACATAATTTACCCTTAAAATTTTATGATTTCATCGTTTGGGATAAGATTTAAGACTTCGTCCCTTGCAGTCAGGAGGTCCGTATTATGCTGTACCAATGGGAAGAAGAGATGGGTTAACTTTCGCCACCATAAATGCAACACTGCAGAACTTACCGCCGCCCTCCTCCAACGCCAGCACCATCCTCTCCATGCTCGCCACCAAAAACCTCGACCCGACCGACGTCGTAGCTCTCTCCGGCGGCCACACGATCGGCCTAAGCCATTGCACCTCTTTCACCGGCCGACTCTACCCTACCCAAGACCCCACCATGGACCAAACATTCGCCAACAACCTCAAGGTCATTTGTCCGATAGCCAATTCGACCAACACCACGGTGTTGGACATCAGGACCCCTAACATATTCGACAACAAATATTACGTCGATCTCATGAACCGACAAGGACTGTTCACCTCCGACCAAGATTTGTACACCGATAGTAGGACGAGGGGCATCGTTACTAGCTTTGCTATTGATCAGAATCTCTTCTTCCAGAGGTTTGCGGTGGCGATGATAAAGATGGGGCAGTTGAGTGTGTTGACCGGCAACGATGGGGAGATTCGTGCCAACTGCTCGGCGAGAAACGCTGGTAAAACTTCGGTTTTGGTGTCGGCGGTGGAAGAGCTGCCGGTGGAGGAGGCTCGGTCCGGGTTTTAAGTAGCTGATTAAGCTTGTTTAAAGCGTGTAGGATGTTGATTGTGACATTGTGTCATTTGTGTGTACGACTTTGGGGACTGAGTTTTGTATTTCAGCGTGTTTAGAGACTGTTCTACTCTCGTTTTTATGTACGTTTGGTTTTGTATTGAATAAATTGCATTTATATTCACCGATTTAGTAAAAAGAACAATTTTAATAGAGAAAAAAATAGCGTGACGTCAAAAATTATCCTTTAACGTTTCATTTTAGGTAGTAAAGTTATTTCATGAATGGTATAATCACCATTTTAATCCCAAACGAATAAAACATAAATCCACTAAAATAAGTTTTTTTCATTTTCCCAACGGTCCTCATGCATCTCAGCAGCACCCACCAATTTCTCCTCGCCATACCAGCTGCCAGCAAGCACTTCATCGGTCGATTAAAGCCTCATCGTTAGTCGTGTAACAAAATGAGAGAAAATAAGAAAAAATCGATCTTCTTAGAGTTTTACTGATCTAACCTTTGTAACTGGGTTTAAACACCCAAATCAAAATGTAAAAGGGGTTGACAACTCTGAAAAATAGAAAGAATAAGATTTCTATGGTATTTTACCTTTTTTTGAACCTTTCTTTTGATATGCATGTACATAGAGTAAGAAGGGGGTTAGATTGTCTACCTGTTGGTGTCCGAGCGTTGTAGAAGTCGGAGTTTGTCGCCAAAAACGGAGAGATCGAAGCCTTAGTTTCTTCAAGTTTATGGTGGAGAAGAGATAACGAACGGTCGCCTTAGGTCGCCAGAGATAGGAAAACCGAAGAGTCAAGGGAGGTTTTGAAGGGTTTAGGGTCCTTATTTGGTGATTTAGGTCTCGGATCTGAGTTTTGGACAACAAGACAAGTGGTCTAAGCTGTTTTTTGTGTTGAGTTTTGGTTTTTCGACCACTGTCGACGGTGGTCGAAGTGATGGAGCGGCATCGATGAACCGCATGTATAACTCCTAAACTCGATCTAGATGTTATGACCAAATTTTGAAGGTTACATTCTTAATAATTCATAAATGCGTAGTCTTAAATTTTTTTAGAAAGAAAAAAATATATAAATAATGGTTCCCAATAAGTTACAGAATAAATAAATATCAATAGATAAAACGTTATGGTATGATAATGAATCCATAATTACTAAACCAATGCATGCGAAAACACAATACAGAATCTCCACACAGATTATGTACCAAAAGTCCAAATGTGAAACAAACCTCAAATCCAAAAAACAATATAAAATATAAGGGTGGTCTGAAAATAGTCATTCCGTATAAAATGGTAAAATATCACTAGTCGATCATCCAAGTACCAAAACGATCATATCGATCTCGAGAATTTATAAAACAGAAAATAAAGGATGTGCTATAGAACTTTTAATGTGTCCTTTAAGTGCATGCCAAGCAACAAAGAATCCATATATATCATTTAAACCTCACACAATGTTCAATGTAGTATACCTATCATAACCAAATCTCCATACATGATATGCAAGCAATGAAATGCAACCTAGTTCACTCTACCACATCGCTATGCAATTGTTGGGTTTACCATCCTAATGGATGAATCAGTCGGTAATTAGATTTATCACCTTAACAGATGAATCAATTGATAATTGAGTTTATCATCACAATAGATGAACAATCAGTAATTCGATTCTTTCTATGATGTTATGTCATTCCGATGCAACACATAGAACGGTATCAATAACGAATATGTTCAAACTAAAGATATACGATTATAACATGTTCAATTCATCATACTTTATTTCTAAAAAAACAATTCATCATACTTTACTCATTAATATAAAATAACTCAATTATTTGATATAAATACACATCAGTAAATATAAATCATGGTCATACATATTCACATCATCAAAGATCAAGCATATCACATGCATAGCACACTCAAGTATAACACATGTAACACTAAACAAGGAACACACCTCTTGAAAGCTGTAGCACTAACGCTAAACATGTTCCCCACGTTCGGTAGCTCTAGGTTCGGGAGCTTTAGAACACGTAACTCTAGTCGAGCGGTCATTGTTTATATGAACAGGATAAGATAAATTCGGGTCTACTGACGAGCGTTTATGAGAGATCAGGTTGTATGAACCAAACCATAAATTAATATGAAATCAAACAACTAGAATCTACTCATGCCAAACCATTAAGAATAAAAATAAATACTAGATTTACGAAAGTGTACCTGAATCCATTGTTGGAGATTACCTAGAAGGTTGAGAGTTTGGTTGTGATCTTCCAAGAAGATAGAATTCCCTTTAGTATTAAGTCTTTGACGGGGATAGGAGAAAATACGAGATATCTATTTCTTGGGGACTATGACCCTTTATATAGTTGATTGAATCAATTATTATATGTACTTATAACTCTACCCCTCATCGAATTATAAATACAACTTTAATGGTATCTACACTTTTATTTCCATGACACTTTTAATACCTTATGAATTTATAATATAATTGGTCACTTAATTTATGTCATATTTTATGATAACAATATACATTATAAATATGTGCCCATAATTGTGGATTTTAATCCAATAATCTCCCACTTGGGCAACATATATTTCCTTATAAATGTATAACTTAATGAGCTCAAAACTTGTTATTGTACAATAGGTATTCTATACAATATTGTCCATCAACTATATCCATATATGATCAAAAGGGTCCATCAACTATATCCATATATGATCAAAAGGGTCTTTGCCATATCTATCATGACTAGACCCATCAATGGTCACATATATAGACACAATCAAATGACATAAATCAATCATGGAGCGTAGCATTTAAATTACATGCAATGTGAACTGCAGAAGTCTATTTCCAACTGGTCCTCTTTAAACATAAGTGAGGTCATTCTTTAAACAATAAAAGAGAGTGAATAAACTGAATATTTTATTTCTGATTATAAAATAACCAAATACATAAATGTCTGGGAAAACAAACATAAGCAAACAAAACACCTACTCAAACAATGATATAATCAAGTGATATAACCAAATACATAAATGAGCAGTGTGCCCATGAAAGACCTTAGATGCTAAACCTTTTATGAGTGGATCCACTATCATGGAGTTTGTTCCAATGTATTCAATGGATATTTGTCCATTCTATACTCTCTATTTCATAACTAGGAACTTTATGTCAACATGTTTTGACTTAGACGAGCTCATATTATTGTTGGAATATAAAACTGCTGACTTATAGTCACAAAATTGTTTAAGTGGTCTTTCAACATTCTCCAAAATATGCAATCCCGTGACAAAGTTCCACAGCCATATTCCATGGTTTGATGCCTCATAGCATGCTACAAACTCTGGTGCCATAGTGGAATAAACTACAAGTGTCTATTTGGCACTTTTCCAGGATATAACTCTTTTAGCTATCATGTAAATATAGTATGAAGTGGATTTTCTACTATCTTGGAATACAGCGAAATCAGAATCAGAATACCCGATGACCTCCAAATGATCTAATCTCCTATAAGTGAGCATGTAATATTTTATTCTCCAAAGATACCTCATAACCCTCTTGGCTGCTATACAATGGTCCATACCAAGGTTGCTTAAGTATATGTCTAATACCCCAACAATGTACGTAATATTTGGACGTATACATACTTGAGCATACAATAAACTCCTAATAGCTGATGCATAGAGAATTTTTTGCATTTCTTGAATTTCAAGGTCAGTTTTAGGACATTGAGCAAGACTCAAATTGTCTCCTTTAGCGACAGGGGTATCAACTGGTTTACTATTTTGCATGCCAAATCTTTTAAGTACTTTATCGATATAATTCTTTTGTGACAATCCAATAATTCCTTGAGAACGATCTCGATGTATCTGGATTCTTAAGACAAAAGAAACATCACCAAGATCTTTCATTTCAAAATGCTTAGATAAAGTTCTCTTGGTTTCATGTAACAAACTTACATCATTTGTGGCAAGCAAAATGTCATCGAAACAAATAACCAGAAATATATGTTTACTCCCAATGAACTTGTGATGTACACAATTATCAACCATGTTCATCTCAAAACCGAACGAGATAACTACTTGATAAAACTTGTAGTACCATTGACGAGAAGCTTGTTTGAGTCTATATATGGATTTAGTTAATTTACAAACTATATTCTTTGGATCTCCCAACTCAAAGTTTTCCGGTTGCGTCATATAAATTGTTTCTTCAATGTTGCCATTTAGAAACGCAGTCTTAACATCCATCTAGTGTAACTCAAGGTCATAATGAACAACAAGTGTCTTCTTTTTTAGTATATCTTTTAGCTACAAGACGTGCCTTATACTTCTCCACATTACGATTTACATCCCTCTTAGTTTTAAATATCCATTTACAACCAATTGGTTTTGCACCTTCAGGTAATGAGACAATTTCCCAAACTTTATTGTCTTGCATGGACTTATACTCTTCTTGTATGGCATCAATCCACTTTTGAGAGTTAGTACTTTTCATGGCCTGATGAAAGTTGATTGAATCATCTTCCATCATTCCATTATCATCATCATTTTCTTTAAGAAATACAATGTAGTCATCCAAAATAGTTGTAACATCCCAAAAGCCGGGTCAGTGACTAAAATATAAATTTTGGAAACTTTGTGCTCAATTCCAAAATAAGCTAAAAGTTCAGGGACTTAAGTAAAGGATTTTGGATTAAATAGTAAAGATGGATAAACTAAAGGGCTAAAATGGTATTTTCATAGAAAAGATTTTTATCTTCCCTTTTTGAGTAATATAAAACGTGGGAAATGTAAGAAAACATCCATAGTTTTCTTCTCTCCTTCTTTCTCTTCTTCTCCACCGTGAAGCTTTTAAGCAAAGGTGAGTTGGTTTTCTTTTGGTTAATTCTTAAGAGTCAAGCATGGTTTTGGTTAATGAAGTATTAGAAAAGAGTATGAAATCAAAAAGAAGCATGGAAACTTAAGGAGTGATAAGTTATGGTTGATTTAAGTTAAGAAGTGAATAAGTGAAATTGTGAATAAGGATATATAAATGGATTTAAAAGTTGAATTTGACTTGTCAATAGTGGAATTAAGAGATTTGGAGTGTTAGAATTGGATTTAGAACATATAGAAATTTTGGTATGATTCTTGAATGCTTTGTGGAG